CCCTAAAACCAAATGGGACTAATGAGGCACAGCAGTCCAGGGACAAGGGCTGGAAGGCAGAAGGGGACAGGAAAGCTGGTGATAGGTAACCCAAGGTTGAGTAAGGAGAGTGTTGATGTGTTGTGAGGTTGTTAACCATTGTCATAGGGCAACATGTGTAGTAACTGTTAAATGAGAAACTATTTTGCTCTGTAAGCCTTCATCTAAAGTGAGAATAGCAGCAAAACTGGAAGAGCGTAGTCGATGTCACTGAACTGTGCACATAGAAATTTTTGAAATGGTGTATCTTTGGCTATGTATATTTTCACCAAAAGGAAAAAAAAGATTGAGAAGGGAGAGGGTTGACATTTCGTTGGGTTGTTAACCAGTATCATAAAATATGTGTACTACTGTTTCATGAGAAACTATTTGTTCTGTAAACCTTCACCTGAAGTACAATTAAAAAAAAAAAAGAAAAAGAATTGAAAAGATCAATAAAATTGATAAACTTCTAGCAAGACTGAACAAGGAAAAAAGAGAAAACACATAATACTCAGTATCAGAATTGAAAGAAGAGATATCACTACAGATCCTGCTAACATTAAATGGATAATAAAGGAAAACTATGAACAATGCTACATACATAATTTTATAACTTAGATAATTTCTCAAAATCAGCAAATTATCAAAACTTAGCCAAAATGAAATAGATAAGCCTGTTGTATAATTATCAAAGAAATTAAATTCATAGCTAAAAACGTTCCCCAAAAAGAAATCTCCAGCCTATATAGTTTCATTACCAAATACTTAAAAAAAAATAACATGAATGCTATAGTGTTTTCTAGAAAACACAACACTTCTGAACTCATTTTATAAGACTAGCACTACCCTGACACTAAAATCAGACAAAGACAGCACAAAAAAAGAAAAAGCTTCAAACTAATATCCCTATGGACAGAGGGACAAAAATCCTCAAAAAATAATAGTAAATAGTACTCAGGAATATACAAAAAAAATAATACTCCATGACAAAGTGAGGTTTACTGTGGGAATACAACACTGGCTCAATATTTGATAATCAATCAATATTAACATTAAAACCACATTAGCATATCCATTGATGCAGAAAAAGCATTTGACAAAATCTAACATCCTTTCATGATAAAAACACTAAGCAAACTAGGAATAGAAGAGAACTTTCTCAACCTGATAATGGGCATCTGCAAAAAACCTACAGCTAACATCATACATAATGGTGAAAGACTATATGTTTTCATCTTAACATCACGAATATGATAAGGATGTCTGCTCTCACCACTTCTGTTCAACACTGTACTGTAGGTTCTAGAAAGTGTAATAACATAAGAAAAACAAAAGCATCTGGATTGGAAAGCAAGAAGTAAAACTGTGTTTATCTGTAGACAACATAATTATCCTAGTAGAAAATACAATGGAATCTAAAACAAAAAACTATTACTAATAAGTGAGATTAGACAGGTTGTAGGATATAAGATCAGCATATAAAAATCAATTTTATTTTTGTATACTATCAATAAACAATTGGAAGCTGAAATTTAATAAAACAATATCACTGACCAACAGCATAAAAATACAAAATACTTAGAAATAAATCTGACAAAAGGTGTCAAAGATCGGTACTCCAACATCACAAACCAAATGTCAATGTGTTTCTATATACTAGCAATGTATAACTGTAACTATCTGCCAAAAAAATTTTACAATAGCTCTAAAAAAAATAGAAATAAATACTTAAGTATAAATCTATCAAAACATGGACAGGTTCTATAAGCTGAAAACCTCAAAATACTGATAAAAGAAATCAAAGACCTAAATAAAAGGAAAGACACAACATGTTCCTGGATTGGCCTAGTCAACATAGTAAAGATTTCAATTCTCCCCAAGTTGATCAACTTGATTAAGTTGATCAAACAGACTTAATTTAATTCCAATCAAAATTCCAACATGATTTTTTTGTAAATACAAACAAGTAAATTCTAAGTGTCATATGGAAAGTCAAAGGAATTTGACTAATTTTGTACCAAAACAATTTTGAAAAAGAACAATAAAGTTGGAGGAATCACACTACTTGATTTTATGACTAACTATGAACCTACAATAACCAAGGCAAAGTACTATGGGCTAAGGGGTAGTCACATAAATGAATTAAACAGAATAGAGAGCCCATAAAAATAAAGCCACACAACTACAGCCAACTGATTTCTGACAGAGGTACAAAAGCATTACAATAGGGAAATAATAGTGTTTTCAACAAATGGTGCTGGAATAACTGGGCATCTCTATGCAAAAAAAAAAAAATTCAACCTAAATCTCACACCTTTCAAAAATTAACTCAAAATGAATCATAATTCTCAATGTAAAACTTAAGACTCTAGAAGTTTTAGAAGAAAACATAGGAGAAAGTTTCTGTAACCTAAGGTTAGGCAAAGAGTTGTTAGAAGCAGCACATAAAGCACAATCCATAAAAGGAAAAAAATTTGAGATACTGGACTTTTATCAAAATTAAACATGTTTCCTTTGCAGGGGAAAACATCTGCTAAGAGAATAAAAACACAAGCTATCAAATGTGAGAAAATATTTGCAAATCACTTATCAGATGAAGAACTTATATTCAAAATATATAAAGAACTCTCAAAACTTAACAAGAAGGGAACAGAAAACCCTATTAAATAATGAACAAAAGATGTGAAGACACATCGCTAAAGAATATACACAAATGGAAAACAAGCACATAAAAATATTTAACATCATTAGTCATTAGGGAAACGCAAATTAAAACCACAATGTGATACCACTACATATCTATTTGGATGACTAAACTAAAAATTTTTTTTAAAAAAGAGAAAACCCAAGGTGCTGGTGAGGATGCAAAGCAACTGGAACTCTTACACACTGCTGCTGAGAATGCAAAATGGTACAGCCATTCTGGAAAATAGTTTAATAGTTTGTTAAAAAGTTAAACATACACTTACCATACGATCCAGCAATCCTACTCCTGGGTATTCACCCTAGACAAATGAAAATTTAAATTCAAACAAAAACCTATACATGAATCTTTACAACAGCTCTATTCATAACTGCCCAAAACTAGACACAACACACCTGTCCTTCAACAGGTGAATGGCTAAACAACTATGGTTTATTCATACAATCAAATACTACTCATCAAGAAAAAAGAACAAACTACTGATATATGCAACAACTTAGATGAATCTCACAGGCAATTACAGTGAGTAAAAGAAGTTAGTCTTATAAGGTTACATACTGTATGATTCTAGTTCGATAACATTATCAAAAAGACAAAACTAAAGTGATGAAGAACACATTAGTGGTTGTCAAGGATTAGCGGTGGGAGGAGGGTACACAAGGGAGTTTTTTAGGGTGACGGAACTGTTCTGTATCCTCTCTGTGGTAGTGGTCATATGAATGTATACACATGGTAAAATTCATAGAGCTGTATGCCAATAATAAGTCAATTTTATTGCATGATAGTTTTTTAAAATTAAAATTAAAAAATAGACAATGCTGGATAAAAAAGATGTTGGCTGGCTAAAAGCAGCTCACAGCACTATGACTTTACCCAAAGTAATTAACATTTGCTGAACAAAAACACTATGAACTGGCCAAATATTGTAACAGCATAGTTTCTGTTTCAATCTCTCATTTACATCCCTAAGCCTCAAAACTTTAAATTACTTTTTTGTACTGTCATTAATGCTTTTTTATCATGATGTCTGTCACTGAAAAACGTCTAGTTTGCACAAAAATTTACTAAAAATGTCAAATAAAACTCAGAAATCTAGATTTCTCAGCCAATTATTTTTAACTTGCTTTAAAATTACCATCAGCAATAGCTAATTTTTCCTTTATACTTTATATGCTTAGCTCCCTCCATTAAAAAGAGGCAGGATATGTACTGAAGTCATCTTTTCATTACCCAGGCATTGTATCTTGCAAGCAGACATTTAATAAATGTTTACTGAATTAATTAATCTTTATTAAACATGGAATAAACTGAATAGCGAAGTCATTAATTTACCTCATATATGAACTCTCTGTAGGACTTATCTTTTTACTTGAATTCACATGACTGACTTTTAAAAATAATTATTATTCTTTCTGACTCTAAACATGGGATATACCCAAATTGCTAACTAATGTATTTTCTATGCTGCTATACTCTTTCAATTTTCTCTGCTAAGGAGACATTGGGTATTTGTTCTCCAATCTATCTAGGTACAAGTCAAATTTTCAATAAAAGTTTTGAATTTTGCAGCTTCAATAAATAAAGACTAAGGAGTATAATATAATAGTATAATTAAAATAGTGTAACATTAATTTTTTTTATTCTATAATATATACCATGAAGTTACTTTGCACTAGCACTTGCACGTAAGTCAAACTGGACTGCCCTGTCAGCAACCAGTCAAAAAAATAATAATTACTTATATAATTATAATTGTACTATGTAACTGAAAGATGAAAAAAAAACCTGATCTGACCAAAGCATTCAATGTAGTAATTTTTTTTATTGAGTCTAACACTAGAATCATAAGCAATATTGAGTTCGTTAACTGTGTTTTTAAAGAGAATGAATGATTACGTGAAGTTGCCCCTTTTTATATTTTAGCTCTGAGGACACTGTTAATACTCAATAGACACTTATTAATAAGGACTACTATCTATTATGATCAAATAATAAAGGTAATTTGCAAAAAAAATTTTATACAGAAATATACTAGTCCTTAAACTTATAAATTTTCATGAGCGCCTCATCCATTGGTCTTAATTGGCTTCTACAGTATCTAACATTTATTGTTCAATTCCTTCCCTCATCCCACCCTTGAATGTGCCATTATGGGAAAAGGAGCAGTTCAAATCATAGAGAAGCACACTACCCTACAAAGTCACAGTAAGGGTAAACTACCTTTCAAATAATTTTTACAAGTTGGCAGTTAATCGTATCTAGACCATGTGTCTAACTAAGGCTCCTTGAAAATACCCATTTAAGTTAAATGTGATGAAAAAACCCACTGCCCTCAAGTCAATTCCAAATCACAGCAACCCTGTAAGTGTGATGAAAGTGAATTAATTTGTCACTAGATTGGATTTACTTACAGAAACATTTTCTTTTTGTTTCAGCTTAACCTCAAATAAAATCACTGCAAAGCAATCCTAATATGTAATTAAAAATGTACTTGATAATCTAGTCTCAATATTATGAGATTAAAAGACTCCTAAAATATTAGCAGAACTGGGCAAAACTATGCAAAAGGGGCATTTCTAAACATTTTTGAAGCCTAGGGACAGAGTTATACATGGCAATTATAATTAGGCTGTGTGATTATTAAGTACACCTAGAGAGAACCGTCATTTCAAAAAATATTAAAATCAAGTTTTTGTAATTCAGGAATTTAAAGTTAGCTCCACTCCCAAAACCTCAACATTTTATAATACAGAATTTTTAGTAAATTCTTAAAAAAAAAAAATACCTGTTTCTGTAGCCATCTTTCATGCCGTCGTTGTTTCCTTCTCAGATTCTTCAACTTGCTCCTTTCTCTCTTACTGAGCCTCTGGTTAATGGCGCCCAACGAAAAACTGGCTGAACACAGGAAGTCCAGAGGGGAGAGGTGCTCTTCCTGGTCCGAGGCCTCCAGCGTGCTCCTGCCAGCCGAGGGTAGGTCCATCAGGAAAGTCAGGTTGTTAGCATTAGCATGTTCAGAGTACACTGCAGAAGCTTCTAGACTACATTGAAATTCTCCTCCTCTTTGTGTCTGGGTCTCACGGGGAGCCACTGAAAATCTTTGCAGCAGCATATTAGGATCAAAACTGGATGGATTCTGAAAGGAACAACTATTTTTACTACTTTCTAAAGGCAAGCCAGAAAGGTCAACAGGCTGTGTTTCATTTAGCCTAGAATAGGCAGTAGTCTTACTACGTATTTCATACAAAGTAGGTAATAAAGTCAGGTTCTCACTGATGTGCAGATCCAAACTATGTGATTTTCTATGAAAAGCTCTTGCAGTGCATCTGCCAGTCACAAGCTGGGGAACAAAAAGCTGGTATTTTGGATCTGATGCTTTGAAGCGCAGTTTTTCGTTCTTCACCTCAAAATATGTTGATCGCACCTCCAGGCAGAGTGCTTCTGTTAATCTTCCAGGGCCATAATTATTTTGGGCCATGTTTAAAAGCCTGTGGTTGCTTTTTTTGGAGGCACCACCTGTCAGCAGAGTATCCTTGTCACGACCCGACTGAACTCTAGGATGTGACAAGAATTTCGGCAATGGTCTCATTAGTCTGCCTGCCCGTGCGAGCTGATAATCAGTCCGGCTCTTGGAGAGATGTACAGCTGCAAGCTGGCCACAGGAACATTTTGGAGTGCTGACAAAATTAAAGCCCCCTAAATGGGCCCCACAGAAAGGGCAATTCAGTTTTCCAACTGTCCACTCGGCCTACAGGTAATAAAGAAAGAAAGAAAAAAGACAATGCTTTCATTGTAAAGTAACCAAAGAAAATGCAAGTTAAAAAAAAAAAAAAAAAGCCGACTATGTGAAAGTTTTCTATCCCACAGAAAAGACTAGCTTTCTGTTTTCTGATTAGAAGACAGAACACCAAATGGAAACAAGCCTTCCAATAAATAGAGATAAGCAGTTCTGGAATGATAACATATTGTAAATCATGTCCATCCAAACAATACTCCTAAGAATTCTAAAAAAGAGCCTCTAAAACAATGGGTTGAATATGGATACAGTGTGAACTAACGAAAAGAAAAATACACTATGGAACCAGGAAGCAAATCAGTCTACAGAGCTTAATTTGCAAGTAAAATCTCACAGAAAAGTGTCTGTTTTGATACACTTCTTGCATACCAAGCACTGTGGGAGGGAACTTTACCCAAGCAACAGAATAAACCTCTTCTTGGCTTTTTATATACAACCGAAAGATGTTGGTTGCATACATCAGATAGTGCATTTTCTATACTCAGATTGGAAAATAATGAATTGGCTTAAAAAGATCTTTTCAACAGACAGTGGAACATCTGCAGTGTCCTAATACATTTTGTGATGTTCAGGACACTTAAAGCAGTGTACTGGCATTTCCCCAGGAAATCATTACAGTTTCAGAATGGATGCAAGCCATATCTATCACGTTATTTTATTAACAAAAAAAATAAGCTGTATTTTAAGTCAGTAGAAAAATGGAATTGTATTTTTCCAAAAATCATATTACTCGCACTTTTCTAGGACCTAGATGTTTTGCATTGTAAGAAATAGCTAAATACTATTAATAAGGTGGATTCTTGCTCTTATAAAACTTCATTAAGGATCTGTAAAAATGTACTATTTTTATTTTAGTTATAGCAGTAACAGTGATTAATTATTGGGTTTATGTGTGTGTGTATATATGTGTGTATGCGTATATATATGTAATGGCAAATATAGGCAGGATACTTCAGTCACTCAGCAGGCACTGTTCCAGGCGCTAGGAATATTGCAATAAACAAAATATAAAAGTCCTGACTACATGAAGTTCATATTCTATTGGGTGAGCTAGGCAATTAACAAGAAATAAGCTATGTGCGTTTTTATATGTATGAGTGTATATAATAATGTATATATTTATATATACCATATATAATTATGCATATTTATAAGTAAGTATTATATATTATAGTGTGTGTGTGTGTGTAAATACAGATAGCTATATAAAGCAGAGAGGGGAGAAAGGAAGTGTGAAGATCAGTAACGGGGGCAGCTGAGAGGTTGGCCAGCAAATGCCTCACTGAAAGTGAAAACCAAAACAAACCAAACCTGTTGCTGTCAAGTCTGACTCACAGCAACCCTACAGGACAGAGGAGAACAGCCCCATAGGGTTTCCAAGGAGGATCTGGTGCATTTGAACTGCTGACCTTTTGGTTAGCAGCCAAGCTCTTAATCACTACGCCACCAGGGCTCCCTCTGAAAGTAAAGAACTACGGAAATGAAGAAGCAAACCAGGTGACTATCTGTGGGAAGAGCATCCAAGGAAGAAGAAATACCAAGTGCAAAGTCTGAGGTGTAAAAGTAAAAGTACCTGGAGTACTGCAGTAATGGTGAAGATGCCAGTAAGTGTAATCAAGACTTACAAACTCTTTCATGTCTCTTAAAACAAAGCATCCAAGAAAAATAGCTCTAAAAATGAGGATGAAAACTTTCTGAAGACTGTGTCTTCCTAATTTTACTCAGAAACTAGGAAACTTACTTTTTGTATTAGGCAGTTTATCCATTCTGGAAGGGCTTCTATATTCATGTGCCACACATGACAAATATTGTGAACATCAGCTGGATCGTGTCTATCCTGTTACATCAAAATGCATGATATTACTAATTACCAGTTTAGAATTTATTTCACAAATTTCATATCAAGTAAAGCACAAAAATACCAACTCAATTTTAGCTAGGATGAAATACACACTCCCCTCCCCTCCTTTTTTCAGCTATTACCAAAAACAAACTCATACAGAAGACCAAAATTATTTTTTTCTTTTTCAGGGACTAATACTTGTGATTTAAAAAATGAAAGGCCTTTACGATAACTGAGTTCATCAATTGAAATTTAAAACTTAGGAGTAAGTTACTGAATGTAACTCTTTTTTTTCCTACGTATGAGAGATAAAATAGTGTCATCTGTGGCGACTTTCCTTAGATTCAGTCTCTGATTCTATTTGGGTTCTCCTAATGACTGAATAAAGAAGTTGCTATATTCTTTAACAATTATGTTTAAGAAAAGCACAGAAAGATGGGGGCGCAGAAGTAGTTGTGTGGACAGCTGGAAAAGCTTTTACTAAAGTTATGTAAGACTGACAAAAATTTCAAAGAGAGACTCTTTTGCCTTTCTGAACTAGATTTGTATAAATAAATATTATACATGGTTGAGACAGTACGGCTTCCCAACATATCAGAAATACGTAGGGCAGGCCAGGGTTGAGTTACATGGCTCTTTACTACCTATATGACCTTTGACCAGTCACTTTATCTCCCTGGCCCTTAGTTTCTTCACCTGTAAAAACACTAGTAGACAATTGCTAAGTCGTTTCTGGGCTATTGGATTTCATTCTATGAAATAGTGAGAGAGATGGGGAAAGGTAAAGCTCCTCCCCACATACCCTTTCCCAGGATCAGATTTTACATCGAAGTAGCTTTGCAAGTTACCAAAGCACAATGCTTTTAAATTTTCCAAGAAGCTGCACCACTACCTAGTTACTACAACCAGGTTAACAAAGTAACAAACAATAGGAAAATTAATAAACATGTCTTAAAATCTGCTTTAACAGTGATATGAATGGAGCAGGACTAAATCTCTTCAAGAACCTTTCACTGAATAATCTACCTTAGACTGTGACTTGGAGCCAGGACCACCCAGAATTTCTAGGTTTAATTTCTCAAGCTGATCCCTCCTGGTCCTTACACAGTTCTCTTCTATCAAAAGATCTTTTTTAAGATACTAAAAAGTGGCCAGGTATAGACAAAAAAGTTCCAGTGTGATTTCTTTACATATTGGGGAGCTCTGTAAAGAAGCTGTCTCAATCTAATATCCTTTCAAGCCAAAAAATCAAAATGTATAACTTAAAGGGTAAAGAGACTTGAGCTATTGTAATATTCTAGACAGCATTTCATTATTTTTTATACCGTACACAATAGTATTTCATATACTATAAACAATAATCAGTGTTAATCTAAATTCAAAATTATAATAAAGAAAAAATTTGTTAAAGCTTTTGAAATTTTCCCAATTTTAAAGTTTTAAGAATCCTCCAAAACAGGCTGAAAATAGCTCAATGGCAAATAGAAAGTCTATTGGAAAGGGCTTATTGTTGGCCAAAGAGAAACTTTACAGTTTTATCCATCATACCTGAACTCAATTCAGGTTAACAAAGTGTAACTTTCCTTTCATGTCAATACAGAGAGAAGGCCAGGCAAAGGCATGGCAATATAAAGAGGATATTATTGAATAAAGGCAAAATTCGGAAAAAAAAAGGAGATTCCAGGAATAGTCTCTGGCTCAATCACCTTATTGCTCCCTAACATGTCTCCTCCAACAGTGATGGGCAAATATACAAAGGTTTATTCTATTATAGATGCTGATACAATTTAAGAAAAATATAGGCAAAGAGGACGGTCAGTGGTTTCAAGATGGCAAAATGAGTACATGTTCGAGTCTGTCCTCTCTTATCAAACTACAAACCCTATAGAAAAGATGGAAAAAAAAGAATCAACAGCTAAACTAGACAACAGAATGGGGAACTTTCAATAAACCAGGAAATTGTGAGGAATCTCTGAGAGTTTAACAAAGAAAACAACAGCATACTGTATATAAATGCATAAACTCATTGCCATTGAGTCAATTTCAACTCATAGCGACCCTAATAGGTAAAAAAAAGATGTTCCATGCCGAGAGTAGAAACTAGAAACAAGAAGGGGCCCTGGGGCAACTGTCAGGGGTTGAGATGAAATCTGCCTGTCTTCACATGATATTTAGGACAATACTGCAGGTTGGCTGGCAAGGTCTGTAAGAAAGCATTTGTACCAAGTCCAGAAGATGCTCTGTTGAGGTATCATCTTTATTCTCACTAAAAATAGAATTGTAACAAATAAGCTTATTTGTTTGTACTAATGAGATACATTTCTAATACATTTTGTTTGTTTTTAAAAAAAAGCAAGTGGAAGAGAAATACACTCTGAATTCTCATAGTAACACTACATACAACATATAAAAGTAGTATTATAACTTTTCTATGGAAACATATTCATGTAAATAGAAAGAAAAGGTACCTAAAAAGTTGTGTACTAAACTGACAGCACTAGTTATATATGAAAAAGAAAAGAAGACCAAGATTAGGAGAGTTAACAAAAGGAAACTTTAACTTTCCCAGAATTGTTTTACCAGGGGAATACATTAAATTATACTTGTGTAATTAAATTTTTATTTTAAAAATTGATTCAAACAGAAATAAAATATACTAATTACTTCTGCTTCTAGCAATGACAGAGTAAATGGTACCAGACTAATTCTCTTGCCATTATAATTGATAAAACTAGACAAAATATAGTAAAGAGCTGTTTTAAGACACTGGACAAAAAAGTGCAGGACTGTGACCCCTGAGGGTAGGAAAATAAATAAGCTGAACCCAACATTTACCCTGGATTTCTGCCTGGAGGAACTTTCTGAACTTTGGTGCAGGGAAGAGGAACCCAAGCAGAGTACAGCAGCCTTATGGGTAAGACGGATATTGGAGTCTATAGAGGCTGAAGAGATGGAGCTTACAGGACATTGTACTGGCAAGGAGGAACCTCTGAACAGAAAAACATCCCAAAAATATGTACAGAGATTCCTTTAAATCTCTGGTTGAATATCAATACAGGTGGATAAGATAAAGAACTTTTATGAAGGAAAATACAATTAGTGAGTTGTAAATTGAACAATTCACACAGGCTCACGGCAAGGCTAGGAAGATGTTCAGGTTCGATCCAGCCAGAGTAGAAGACCTCAATGATGACCTGGAGCATTTAGGAGAAATTCCAGAAGGATTTTGCCATAAGAGTAGGCTAAATTAGCCCTAGAGTGAAGGCTACTAAAAACCAACCCTAACAAAGCTTAATAACAAGGCCTCCAAAGAATGAATGAATAATAAATAACTTAAATGCCTGCTAAAATAAAATTCAACATTCCTTAAAGGAAGACAGAAACATCCAGACACTCAATACTGTAAAACCTCAATGTCCAACCTACAATAAAAATTACCAGACATGTATGAAGCAGAAAAAAAGTGATCCACAGCTAGGAAAAAATGGTCAACAGAAATATACCCATAAGAGACAGAGATAATGGGATTAGTAGATAAAGACTTTAAACCAGTTATTATAGATATGTTCAAGTATTTAAAGGAAAACATGAGTATAATGAAAAGAAAAATGAAGTCTTTAAAATAATACCAAACAGAATATCTAGAGCTAAAACCTATATCTGAAATGAAAATTTCACTGTGTGCTTAGCAGCAAATTAGAAGCTCCAGAAAAAAAAAAACAGTGAATTTGAACACTTAGGAAAAAAAAATTAAAAATCAAGCACACAGAGAAAAAAAAAGCTATCAAAAAATGAGCAGAGCCTCATTTTCTTATGGGAAACACCTAACAGTCCAACATACATGTGATTAGAGGAAAGGCAGAATAATAAATAAAGTAAACCATGGCCAAAATTTTCCAAAATTAAAATTATAAACCCACATACACAAGGAGCTCAGTGATACCCAAACAGGATAAAAACAAAGAAAACCACACCAAGGCACTTAATCAAATTGCTGAAATCCAAGGCTAAAAGAAAAGCATCAAGAGAAAAAAAAAAAGACATACTGAAAACAGGAGAAAGAAGGTAACAATGACTTTGGGAATTCCACTTAGCAATGTGAAGAAATAAAAGTCTGGAATTAACTTCTTGCTATAAGCAACTAGAAAACTGGACAAAATGTAAGAAACAACTACTTTCCAGTTTTCAGCGGACAACAGGCAGTGAAGCACTATGAACTGTGACAGCAATTAAAAAAACTGAGTTGACAATTGTACATACTCTCTTCCTGAAGGCAATTAACAAATGACTAGAGAACCCAAACAGAGCCTGGCCAACTTTCTGAGTTGAGTAAACCAATATCAGATTCTGCAGAAGTTAAGGAAGCTAAAATTTGTAGGACAAAGTACCCAAGAGAAAGAAGCTATACACAGAAAGAATTCTAGAAATTTGCATATGGGATCCCTGGAGTCTTTGATCAAATTCCAATATGGGCATTCTTAGAGTGAAACTCCAGGTGACTGTACTACAGAACACCTACAGGGGAAAGAACAAATAGAGGCGCAATAATCTGAACAATCCCAAGAGTTCACACAGGGCCAGGAATCATTATGTTCCAACCAGCCTAATGGAAAAAGATTCATTAAATAATGAAGCACACAGTAGGGACCGAAAGTCTCATGCCATAAAAATGGGGCTAAATTAGTCCTAGAATAAAGACTACTCGAAACTCACCCTAAATAAACTTAAAATAAGCTTCTAAATAATCAAACTTATTCAGACAAAACTAAGAGGAAAACGTACAAAAAAAACCTTTAAAAGAATAAAAGAAAGCAGAGTATTCAATAACAAGAAATTCAAAATTTCTAGCATCTAATTAAAAATCCAATGTGGTACAGACCTGGGGGAGGGGAACAGCAGCCACCCAGGGAAAGGCTTAAAATTCCAGCCAGATCCTCCTCCCTTATCTCCCTAATCGAACAAAATCCTTAAACTACTATGAGAAGGACAACAAA